ACGCAATTCGACGAGCCGTTAGGTTTTTTATTCCTAGAGCCGATGTCCTACTCAAGACGAATAGCGTATACTTTCGCCAACCGTGATGCCCGAATCACCACCGAGCTTACCAATCGTGATGCCAGATTCATAACCGAACTCACCGATTACCGTGTCAAATTTAACGCTGAACTTACCTCACGCGACGAAAAATTTACAGCAGAGGTCCAAAGAATCTTTACAATGTTTAATACTTCTACTGCAAGACTTGATGAGATCGAACGAGTCCTTCAAAACCACCATAACAATTTTGGCAGAGTTGCAACAGAATTCGAATCAATCAATGGATCTATCTCGATGCTCCAAAACGAAATCAATCGATATTATGCTGTTGTCCAAGCACGAAGTGACATTTCTCCCGAAATAATTGAGCCTATCGAGGATGCAGAACTTCAAGACAATGACTCATCCGACCAACAAAGTGATGCAAATCAATCTGAAGCTTCTTCTGGTTCGAGCCAACGATCATTTTCCGATATGACTTCAGAAATCTGGAACCAATTTAAAATTATTTTTGATATGATTATGGCAGAAAAAGAATGTTCTTTTGATGATATGTGTAATATTGTAATGGTTGATCTTCTTAATCTTGGGGTGGGAAAACTTAGTAAAGATATAATCAAAAATTATTATCGTAGAATTAACGATTTAAGAGGTAGCAACTTAGATAAAATCGGTTCCTGGATCGATAGTAAAACAGTTACACATAATAGTGAGTAGCGGGAAAGGAACATGTGAGTGGGAATTGCTTGTATTTCGGAAATCTTATATAGCAAAGAAAAAAAATAAATATTAATAGTTTTAGTGAAGCCAGTGAAACAATATGACGCAGGGACTCGCATTAAATGGCCTAGGATCCGCGTACTCCCTCCCTTGAAAGCATGTCATATATTTCGATTGTTCGTCTATTTTCTCTTAATCATAAATTTTTATATTACTTGGTACTTGAAAAAATCAAAATCCCAAATCGTTTTATTTTGTATAAAAAAAAATTTATTATACGATCGATTACGACTGTTCGATTACATCTTCCTTTTTTCCTTCTTGGGGGAATATACTAGCGTTTTCCCGAATATAGTATTCTACCGATTGAGACTGAAAGGTCACGGTATCTCTTGATGGATGATATGCAAACACATTAGCTTCTAAAACTTCACCGAATTTCTCATCACCGATAAATTTTCTAAATACACTAGTATGAATCTCCTTAGAATCAAGCAATGCACCGATAACATGCTTTCCTGCTTCGTGACGTGCTTGATATGGAAGGAGTTTTGCGGAATCAAATTTCTTATTGACTTCAGTTAATATTTGCTGTTTAATGACTGCAGAAAAAAGAGTTAAGCAAT